TACAAAGAACCTGAAACCAGGCTAGCTAAAAGGCAGACTGTCCGAGATAAGGGTGTTTATTTGTGAAAAATATTTTTTAGTCTTTGTTTTGCTGTTTGTTTATGTTATGCAACATACAAATGCAACAATCAAATGCACATACAATTCGATCATCCCCGAACTGGCGAGATCTCGTTTTTATCACGAGGTAGGGTTTTCCTGCAGAAAAGTGCATTGGCCAGGGTTGGTTCTAACTGTTCTCACCAGGCTAAGGCCCCCAAGGTGCCCCCATTATAGGGTCCCCACTCTCCAGCCGTCCGACCATGCTTAGCACTAAGGCCATAGTCAGTCTTATTGCCAAAAGAGGAAGGTTATCACCTTGAGTGGTGGTTTCCGATCACACTGGTGGGCTCAAGGCCCTCACTACAGCGAATCGTACCTGTCACCCACTCCCTATGGTTATCTCACTTGCCCCCGGGTATAGGGGGAACTGTTGTGTGCAAGGGATTGTGTGCAGTTTATATTTCAAGCAATTTGCGCAAGTATAAGCAAACAACAATTTACTAAAGCCAAACATTAAAGCATGTTATAAATACAAGTTAAGGGCAAAAGTGTTATTTTCTTGGTTTATTTATTATTTAAGCCGGCCCATCACTAAATGAGATCAACTCTCGAGGCTTCCCCAGTGGAGTCGCCATCTGTCGCCGCCGTCTCAAAAGAGAAGGTCGGTCGGAGCGACGCGATGGTTTTTTCGACCCTTTTGTTTTTTGCGTTTATGGGTGGTTACAACGCCTTTAGGTTGTCCGATAACCGGGCTAACCTAGGGGAGAGGTTTTCGAAAAGTGTCCTTGGGTTGTCCAATAACCAGGCTAACCCAAGGACTTATTTATCTTGGGTTCTATGGAGTCGCCACTGATGTTTTTACCGGAAACATCAAAAAAGGGTTTTTAAAAGGCGTTGGTTTTCGAAAACCAACTTTGGTCATTAGAACCAGAGTTGGGTAAGAGAGTTAGTTACGTGGTAAAGGAAGTATTAGTTCCTTTACTACGCCCCTTTCGGGTTCCCTATGATAGGCCAACTTTTATTGTTAATAAATAAACTGGAAAATACTCTTTTGCCCTTTTTATTGTGCGGAATTTAAAATGATGACTACATGGCCCTAATCTATTGCATAATTAAAATTAAAGCGTTAAAAGTAGAGAGGGAGAAATTAAACCTCCGAAGCAAGCTTTGTTTTTATTTCTTTAAAAGAAATGGGTGCTTTTTGGCAGCCCTTCACTCTACAAAATGCCGGAAACTATTCTGGACACCGAAAAATGCTCTCAAAGACACTCAGAAACTCTGGAAATGCGTCGGAGGGATTCTAGAGAGAAGTTTTAGAGAGAAGGCAGAGCTAGAAGCTTGAGGTGTGTGGAAATGAGGGGGGGAGAGCCCCTATTTATAGGTTTTCGCACTGTCAGGTGGCGAGACCGCCGGTCTCGTCTGACAGGGTCGAGACTGTCGTCTCGACTTGTCAAACGAGGTGAGATCGTCGTCTGGGGGAACGAGACCGCCGTCTCGTCCTTCGCAGGTGGCGAGACCGCTGTCTCGTCAAGCGAGACGGCGGTCTTGCCACTTGCGTGAGGCGAGACGGCGGTCTGGAAAATCCAGAGGGCGGTCTCGTCCCAACAAGGCGAGAAAACTTATTTTTGGTACAGAAACTCCCTCCTATCCTAGTATGGGGCCTAATAGTCTCTCCTAATGGCTTGTTAGGCTTCGTCCATCTTCAAATAGGAGGTCTTCTGGTCTTTATTTGGAGGCCGGGCAAGATTTGAGGTCTACAGAGAGATTTTATTATGAGGATGTTTATGCATACTTTTCTTAGTGCATTTATTTTCTCCCTTAGTTTTACCACTTATTGGATGATGTGGTATGAATGATACGACTTTGTCAAAAATCCTTTTATTGTAAAAGGTATTTTTACTGCTTTAATTTTTTTTATATTTTTTATGGCCCTTTATCTCTTCTGTCGGTCAACGTGGCTACTTAGCTTACAAAGAACCTGAAACCAGGCTAGATTAACTGAAGATTGTCCGAGATAAAGTTGGGTTTTCTTATCACTTTTATGATTTTTAGGGTTTTTCACTATTTTGTTTGTTGTATGATTACCCTATGCTAATGCATCAATACAAATGTAGCAAACGAATGCACACACAATTCATACATCCACGAGCAGAGCCACACTAATTTCGAGGTGGGGTTTTCCTACAGAAACGTGCTTGGTTTAGGTGGTTCTAAACTATTCTCACCAAGGCCAAAGGTCCCCAAGGTGCCCCCATTATAGGGACCTCTCAATCTTTCAGTCCTTGGGTCATGCACAGAACTCCGTGTCGACATCCTTGGACCAAAAGAAGAGAGTTATCACCTTGAGTTGGTGGTTTTCTGACAATGGTTGTAGCCCCGTGTGCCAACAAGCCGGTCGTATCTGCCACCCACTCCCTATAGGTATTCACTCTTTCCCCCAGGTATAGAGGGACTGTAGTGTGCAAGGGTTTTTGTGTGCAATTTATATTTCAGACAATTTGCAGAAAATAATCATACAACAGTTATTAAAGCCATACAATAAAACATACGGAAGAGGGTAAAGGCGTAATTTCAAATCTTCATTTAGTTTGAATTTTATCCGTCACTAAATGGGATCAACTCTCTAGCTTCCCCAGTGGAGTCGCCATCTGTCGCCGCCATCCGTTCCGACGTCTAGGGACATCTCCAACGTTTATGCGAGCGGTCACGAAAAGATGGTTTAGACTCACATTTTTATGTTAAAATATGTTCATTGCTTCCGAGGTGCTCAACAATTGAACCATCCTCTAATAAAAGCAAGGTTTTCGAAAAGGGGTTCTTATGGAGTCGCCACCAATGTTTTGACTGTAAACATTGGAAAAGGATAAAAAGGCGTTGATTTTAATAAAAACCAAACTTGGCCATTATAACCAGAGTTGGGTAAGGGAGTTAGTTATGTGTGGGGAAGGTGTTAGCACCCCACAACGTCCCTTTCGGGTTCCCTATGACGGATTCATTCATTAAGTGAAGATTACGAGAAATTACGCTATTACCCTATTTTATTGCATAATATTAAAAAAAATGACTATCTACATGACTTTATTTCATATTGCATACATAAAGCAATAAATAAAGCAATAAAAGAGAAGAGAAGTGAAAAGAACCTCCGTAGCAAGCTTTGTATTACAAATCTTTAACTGTGAGGATACATTTTGGCAATCCCCCGCTCTACAAAGACTCTCCTCCCAGAATACAAGATCGACTCAACTAAATTTTAAAGAAGAATCCAATGCTGGAAGACAATTCCTTAACCGATTGTTACCTTTTTAAGACAATCGGAGAGTTCATTCGAAGTAGGGAGAGAAGACAAGTTTCTAAAGTGTGAAAAAGTGGCAAATGAGCCTCCTATTTATAGTTTTCACAGCCTGGCACTTCGGGACGGCCGTCTGGAGCTTGGAAAATAGGGATGGCCATCTAGGATTTGGGACGGCCGTCCCAAGCATCAAAACAAGGTGGGACGACCATCTGGCACTTGGGACGGCCGTCTAGGCTGGCTGGGACGGCCATCCCAACTTCTGGGACGACCATCTCGACTATTTTTGCCAGATTTTGTGTTCTGGGACCTCTGGGAAGCTTTCCTTTCTTTATTCGGACGTCGATTGATGCCGATAGACGTCCATCGAAGCTTTATCTTCATATAGGAAGTCTTCTTGGCCTTTATTGAGATGCCGGGAAAGCTTTATCTTCATATAGGAAGTCATCTTAGCCTTTATTGAGAGGCCGGGCAAAATTAGGGGTCTACAATAATCGATTATCTCAGGTGATAATCGATTATCTCAGGTGATAATCGATTATCCATGCATATTTCTGGGTAAAAGATGAAGAAATAATCAATTTTCATAAGTGATAATCGATTATTTGACATGGTTAGAGATATTCTAGCCATTGGCAACGACTCTTTTTGTATGGATTCTTGGAAATATAGCCGTTAGGGACAATTCCTATATATAGATGAACTCATTTTCGAATCATCACACCCTATTGCCTCACTTCCAAACATTTTACATAGATTTCAAGTTTTTCTTGCCTTCTTGTATCCCTCCAAAGCTCTTGCTTTTCTCCAAGTTTCATAAACTTTCATCTTTCCAACCTTAAACTCATCCCAAATAGCTTCCTCTTCTAGGCGTAAGATTCCAACTGGGAGAAGATATGCTCCTGTATCTCATCCCCGCCCTAACTCTATTGAAGGGTGGATCTCTGATGACGAAGGAAGACAAGAATATCTAAATTTTTGGAAGGAAAGGAGTATTATATCTCCTAAGTATCTTATTGGTGATCATTTCACTGACAAGGGCTTCAATTTCCTAAATATCCTTGAACAACAAAGAGTTCTGCCCTTCATTGAAATGCAGGGCACCTACTATCCTGATTTGGTTAGAGTCTTCTATTCCCGTTTCAAGTTCAGAGATCATGTCGCCACTTCCAGAGTAAAGGGGGTTACCATCATTCTTGATGATGACATTTGGGAGAATGTTGCTCATTTTCCTATTAGAGATGATGTTGTCAACATTCTTGCTGATCAGGAAGAAATCAACATAATTATGGCATATCGTTCGTTCCTTCATAATCATGCCATGGAGATTGGCAGACAACTTCTGGCTAGTCCTCTGAAGAAAGAGGAATGTACGTTACTTCATCTTCTTGTTTGGATACTCTGTCCTCGAGCCATCAATCATGCTCAATGTTCTACCATTGATCTCCGTATCATTTATGCCATTATGAACAATAAGCAAATTGATTGGCCCAGTCTTGTTACTTTGACTATGCTTAAAGCGAAGCATCATCCCACCTTTAAGATTCCTTATGCACTTCTTATCTCAAGGATTCTGAAATATGAAGGTGTTAATGTTGAAGATGAACAACTGGCTTAGAATTTAAATTCTAATCGGATGCTTGATGGAACATTATCTCAGCTGTAGATGGTGTTAATGGAACATACTTTCATAAAGATGATGCTCCCCATGCTGCTGAGGTTGTTGGAGATTCTGATGATGAAGAAATGTCTGTTGTAGATATTCGTGTCACCGGAACTTCATCTGGTGCTCATGCTTATCCCTGCAGACCCCAAATCTTGCCTGGACTCCTAATAAAGCCACTAGTGGAAAAATAGCATTCTATGACGAGTTTTTATCACAGTCGTAGTCCACCCGTCATAGTATGTAGCGCGGTGGCAATTTTGTAATAAAATCATAAACTTTTTATGTCGGGTAATAGGTAACTGACATGGTAAGTGAAAAGTTCACTTTCTATGTCGGGTAAATTTTAACCGACATAGAAAGTTCACTTTCTATGTCGAGTAAAATTTAACCGACATAGAAAGTGAACTTTCTATGTCAGTTAACATTTACCCGACATAGAAAGTGTATTTGATGACGGGTGTTAGGGCAACCGACATAGTATCTTCTGTTTTACGCCTGCCGCGACGCTCCATTTCATCACTTCACCCATAGCAGAGCTCCTTGTTCTCTCTGTCTCTTCTACGAACGTCATCGCCTTTGTACGTTTCTCCCCACCCAGCTCTGCTCGTCACGCCACCTGCCAACTCTGTACATCGTGCCGCCTGCTGCTACTGTCGTTGGTGCCCGTCGCCTGTGTACGTTTCTCCCCACCCAGCTCTGCACGTCACGCCACCTGCCACCTCTGTAGGTCTTCAAGAGGTAAGTTTTCGTGCTTGCTTTGGCCATTGTAGGTTTACAGTTTTGAATCTGGTATGTAATAATGCTGTCAAGAGATGGAAAGATCACGGGTGCCTTTAGCTAATTTAGAGACATATTGTAAGTAGTTTAGTCATTTGAATGTGTTTCTGTAGGCATTCTTTCGTGATTTTGATTTTGAAAATTAGATTTGTATTATAATGTAGTTATTTCATTTTAAGTGAAAATTATCATCGCTTATGCTCACCCTAATGTGAGACAATACGATTAGCCTTGATTGGAGTCAGTCATGAAATGATCCATTGTAGGACATAACTTCCTATTGAAAGATTAAAATATCCAATCACGTGACATCGCAATTTCAGCAAAAGTACATGTTGGATGTTATCATCCTCAAACTATACTTATATGTTGTGTTATGTGATAGAAGGTAACAATGGATCAGAGTTGGATCAATTATAAACGAACAATAAATGAATATGAGAGTGGAGTAGAACAATTCCTTGAATTTGCTAAGATGAATGTTCCGGATAATGATGGAAGATTCTATTGCCCGTGTGTTAACTGCTTGAATGAGCGAAGATTACCGACTGAAGTTATTCGGGAACATGTTCTTTGTGATGGTTTCCTAAAGAGTTACATAAAGTGGACATGGCATGGTGAATTATTAAACATGCCAAGTGTAGAAGACAAAGAAGAAGTTGATCTAGAGATGGATGATCAACTAGAGGAAATGATTAGTGAGCTTGGACAAGATGCCTTCCAACATACACATGTGTACGAGAAGTTGTCCAATGATGCAAAAAAGCCTTTGTATACAAATTGTACTAAGTTCACACAATTGTCGGCGGTACTAAAATTGTTCAATGTGAAGGCAAAGAATGGGTGGACTGATAAAAGTTTCACAGAATTGCTTGAGTTGTTGAGTGACATGCTCCCTGAAGGTAACACATTGCCAACCCACAATTATGATGCTAAGAAGATATTGTGTCCAATGGATATGGAGTACCAAAAAATTCACGCATGTCCGAATGATTGTGTGTTGTACAGGAAAGAATTTGAGAACTTTCACGAATGTCCACAATGCGGGGAATCACGATACAAGAAGAAGGATGGTGATTCTGACAATGATGTAATGAAGGGTACCCCGGCAAAAGTGTTATGGTATCTTCCCATTGTTCCAAGGTTGAAACGATTATTCACTAATGGAAATGATGCAAAACTCACTAGATGGCATGCAGATAGTCGTATTAAAGATGGTCAGTTGAGGCATCCAGCAGATGGATTGCAATGGAAAAAAATTGATTCCATCTTCCAGAATTTTGGTAATGATCCAAGAAACATTAGGTTTGGACTTGCTACAGATGGAATGAATCCATATGGAAATTTAAGCAGTAAACATAGTTCATGGCCTGTGGTGTTAGTTATTTACAACTTACCTCCGTGGTTGTGTATGAAACGTAAGTACTTGATGCTATCTTTGATGATCTCGGGTCCCAGACAACCTGGAAATGACATTGATGTTTTTTTAAGCCCATTGGTTGAAGAGTTGAAGATGTTGTGGGAGGAAGGTGTTAATGTGTTTGATGGGTACACAGGTGACTTATTCAAGTTGCGTGCAATGTTATTTTGTACAATTAATGACTTTCCAACATATGGTAATTTGAGTGGCTACAGCACAAAGGGACATAAAGCTTGCTCGATATGTGAAGAAGACACATGTCACTATCAACTACAACATGGAAGGAAAACATTGTACCTTGGACACCGAAGATTTCTTCCTTCAAACCATTCGTATCGTAAATTAAAAAAATCATTTAACGGGTGTCAAGAAAATGATGCAGCCCCAACACCTTTAAGTGGGGAAGAAGTATATCAACGAGCAAGTGCGATTTCGTTTGAGTTTGGAAAGAAGCAAAAGAAAGCCACAGGTATATGGAAGAAAATGTCAATCCTTTTTGTTCTTCCATATTGGAGGGTTCTTGATGTGAGGCATTGTATAGATGTCATGCATGTAGAGAAAAATGTGTGTGACAGTATCATCGAAACGCTCCTTAACATTCAAGGAAAAACAAAAGATGGTGTCAATGCTCGTTTGGACATGGTTGAAATGGGTATAAGAGAACAATTAGCTCCTCAACCTCATGGTAACCGAACATACTTGCCTCCAGCATGTCACACACTGTCTAAAAAAGAGAAAAGAAGTTTTTGTGAGGTTTTACGAGGTGTGAAGGTTCCATTTGGTTACTCTTCCAATGTGAAGAGACTTGTATCTATGAAAGATCTAAAATTGCTTGGGTTAAAATCTCATGATTGTCATGTATTGATGCAACAACTTCTACCTGTGGCTATTCGAGGTATCTTACCAGAGAATGTTAGATATTCCTTAACTCGATTATGCTTTTTTTTAATGCCATATGTGAAAGTGATACTAGCAAAGATCTCAGTGATTTGATGAAGTCAAAGATAAAGTCAAAGGTCAACTCTGCAACAGTCAAACAAGTCACTCAGAAGAATGGAGCTGAAGACTTAGTGTGTCTTATCAGAAAGCTTAGGTAAAACCACTTTACCTTTTCCACTGCATGAAGCTCCTTCACTCAATTTGCAAAATGCCTCAAAAATAGTTTTAAACAAATCAAACAAAAGCATTTTGACAAAGAACTTTCTTAACAATGTTTTTAACTGATATAGTTTTAAAAGACAGTATTTTAATCGATACAAACTTCTTTTAATCGATTAAAACCCTTTATGACCGATTAGAATTCGAATATGATAGGTCATAATGAAATATAATCGATCAGACATTAAAAATGAGCGATCAGATTTACTTTAATCGATTAAAATACGTTTTAATCGATTAAAACCACTTTCGAAGTCAGGATGATCGATCAGAATGAAATGATGACCGATCAGAGTTGGTTATGATCGATCAAAATTGAATTATGACCGATCAGACTTATTTCAATCGATTAAAACGAACTTTCAATCGATTAAAAAGACTTGAAAATTTATGTGCAGATTTTCAATCGATTAAAACGACTTTATATCAATTAAAATAACTTGGAAATTTTTTGTACAGAGTTTCAATCGATTAAAACGTATTTCAACCGATTAAAACAACTTAGAAAAATTCTGTGCAGGTTTTTTAATCGATTAAAACTTCTTTGTATCAGTTAAAATAACTTGAAAAGTTTTATAAGAAAGTTTTAAAGTAAATCAATCGATTAAAACGCGAATCAATCGATTGAATCACACTTAGAAAATGTTTGTAAAATGTTTTAACTGATATAAACATGGTTGTATCAACTAAAACAATTCTGTTAAAGAAACAAGAACGCATTAATGGGTTGAAAGGACTTTTAACAGATTATAACGGCTATTTCAAACAGATTAAAACAAACTTTCACCAGATTAATTAATGCAGCAGATTTGAAAATTCTCTTTAAAAACAGTTTTGCTTGAAATTTTTAAACAGAGATTGTACATCAGTTTTTCATACATCCTTAAGCAATCAATCAAGCAACTTTAGCACTTTTTCAAGAAAGATTCGCAATAGTTTTTTTGAAGTTATTTTGAAAATCTTTCTTGAGGCAACTTGCATACTTTGAAGAAGAAACTCTCTGCAGATTTGGATAAACTGGTTTGAGCTTTCTAGTTTCTTCTTTGTAAATTCTTTTTCATTACTTTGTATTGTGTTGTGCCTGGAATTTGGGCACAAGTTTTCTCTGCAGCTGGAAGTTGGTTGTGGAGGTTATCAAGAACTGGAAGTTGGTTCTTGTGTTAGATTAGGTGTAAGATTGTTGAGTCTGTAAAACATCTATTCTAGTGGAACCCAGCTGGAATTTGGCTGGAGACTGGACGTAGCCCTGGTATTGGGTGAACCAGTATAAAATACCGGTGAAATCTTTCTTAACCTTTCTCTCTTTTATTTCTGTTGCTGCGCTTATATTGTTTGATTGCTTGGTGATTCAAAAAGAGATTTAGAAACTTAATTTTCGAATTAGATAATCTGTGAATTGCGAAAAACTTTCAAAGATCAATTCACCCCCCCTCTTGATCTAAAACTACTTTTCTAACAATATGTAGTAAAATTATGGACCCGGATGTTTTGGATCAGTTAGAGAATGAGGCTGCAGTCATATTGTGTCAATTTGAGATGTACTTTCCTCCATCATTTTTTGATATTATGGTTCACTTGATTGTTCATCTAGCCAGGGAAGTTAGAATCTGTGGTCCAGTTTTCTTACGATGGATGTACCTTATTGAGCGATACATGAAGATATTAAAAGGGTATGTGAAGAACCAATATCGTCCTGAAGCATCAATTGTTCAAAGATATATTGCAGAGGAAGCTATTGAGTTTTGCACAAATTAATTATCAGAAGTTGAGGCTATAGGGTTACCTAAGACTCGTTACCATGGAATAGGTCTTGGTAGAGGAACT